ATTTTTTTTGAGCAATATGAAAGTTGGGAACCAACAAAATTATAGAATGGTGCTAATGGATAGTGAGAAGCTAAACTGCAAAGAGGGGCCTCCCATTTGATTCATCACTTTTTGGCCTCTACACATTTTTGCCAATCTTGCTCAAGTGGCTTCTAAGGTGTTAGGGGTGTCAAGGGGTAAATTTGGAGGCCATAAAGGAGATTGGTGGTGGAATGGGGAAGTCCAAGGTAAAGTGGACAAAGGTGGGGATAAGAAGTTGTATAGGCTCGCAAAAGCAAGAGAGAGGAAGGCGCGCGACTTGGACCAAGTGAAGTGTATCAAAGATGAGGAAGGCAAAATACTGGTGGAAGAGACCTCCATCAAGCAAAGATGGCGAAGCTACTTTCACAAACTTTTAAATGAAAAAGGGGAAGCAGGCATTGTGTTGGGTGATTTGGCACACTCTGAAAGACTTCGGGATTTTGGATACTGTAGGTGCGTTAGGTCCGAGGAGGTTATACGGGCTATTAGTAGGATGAGTAGGGGAAGAGCGACCGGACCCGATGAGATTCCGGTAGAATTTTGGAAGAGCATGGACAAGGCGGGCATAGAGTGGTTAACTGGGCTGTTTAATGTTATCTTTAAGACAGCAAAAATGCCTAAAGAATGGAGGTGGAGTACAATGGTTCTGTTGTATAAAAACAAGGGTGATATCCAAAACTGTAACAACTACAGGGGTATCAAATTGTTGAGCCATACTATGAAGATTTGGGAGAGAGTGGTGGAGATGAGGGTGAGAAGAGGGGTGTCCATCTCTGAGAATCAGTTTGGATTCATGCCGGGACGTTCAACTACCGAAGCCATTCATCTTATGCGTAGACTGGTAGAAAAATATAGAGAAAGGAAGAGAGACCTATATATGGTGTTCATTGACCTTGAAAAGGCCTATGACAAAGTACCGAGGAATGTCCTCTGGAGGTGCTTGGAGTCTAAAGGAGTCCCGATGATTTATATTAGGGCGATAAAGGACATGTACGGTGGAGCCAAGACTCGGGTTAGAACAGTTGGAGGAGACTCAGAACATTTCCCAGTTGAGATGGGGTTGCATCAAGGATCAGTCCTAAGCCCTCTCCTATTTGCTTTGGTGATGGACGAGTTGACGCGGTCTATTCAGGAGAAGGTCCCATGGTGTATGTTATTTGCGGATGACATAGTACTGATTGATGAGACGCGGAACAGAGTTAATGCGCGGTTGGAGGTGTGGAGACAAACGCTGGATTCCAAAGGGTTCAGGTTGAGTAGGACCAAAACAAAATATTTGGGGTGCAAATTCAGTGATGTGGTGGATGAGACAGATGTGGAAGTGAGACTTGCCGCACAAATCATTCCTAAGAAGGAAAGTTTTAAGTATCTTGGGGCTGTAATCCAAGGGAGTGGTGACATCGACGATGATGTCACACATCGCATTGGGGCTGCTTGGATGAAATGGAGGCTTGCTTCTGGAGTATTGTGTGATAAGAAAATTCCACCGAAACTTAAAGGTAAGTTTTACAGAGTGGTAGTTAGACCGGCCTTGTTGTATGGAGCGGAGTGTTGGCCAGTCAAGAACGCACACGTTCATAAAATGCATGTTGCGGAGATGAGGATGTTGAGATGGATGTGTGGGCACACTAGGAGCGACAAGATTAGGAATGAGGTTATCCGGGAGAAGGTGGGTGTGGCCTCTGTGGTGGACAAGTTGAGGGAAGCGAGACTGAGATGGTTTGGACATGTGAAGAGACGGAGCGCAGACGCCCCAGTGAGGAGGTGCGAGGTAATGGTGGTAGAGGGTACGTGGAGGGGTAGAGGTAGGCCCAAGAAGTATTGGGAGGAGGTGATTAGACAAGACTTGGATATGCTTCACATTACCGAGGACATGACTCTAGATAGGAAGGAGTGGAGGTCGCGTATTAAGGTTGGAGGTTAGTAGGGTTAGCGTGTTGTCTTCCCTTGCAAGGGTATGGGCTGTTAGCGTTTGGAGTAGACCTAGCCTTATGCTGTTTACTGCGTTTCACGCATCGCATTACTTTCTTGTTGTTATTGTCTCATTTGTTGATTATACGCTATCTTTTGTATTGGCTGTTATGTTTTATATATATCTCTCCTGTCACTTAGATTTGTTGTTCTTGAGCTGAGGGTCTCCCGGAAACAGCCTCTCTACCTCCACGAGGTAGTGGCAAGGTCTGCGTACACTTTGCCCTCCCCAGACCCCACCTAGTGGGATTTCACTGGGCATGTTGTTGTTGTTGTTGCTCAAGTGGCAAAAGGTGGAGGATTTGTGGCTTAGGTCGCAAGTTCAAGCCCCACCACACCATGCAAAGCGAAGCCTGATATTTAAGTGGAGAAGGGTAGAGGGGCGGGCCCATTATCCACCGAGTTTAGAAGGCTGTGATTGGTCCAAAGGGCGGGTCACAGACGAATTTCTCGGTTATAAAAAAAATAAAAAAAAAATGAAAAGAATAGTGACGTGCTTCTGTTACACTAATGACCTGTTCTCCTTTTATGACTTATAAACAGGCCAATGTTGCCATACAGTTTGCGATGGTTCAGGCCCATTATCCACCGAGTTTAGAAGGCTGTGATTGGTCCAAAGGGCGGGTCACAGACGGATTTCTCGGTTATAAAAAAAAATTAAAAAAATGAAAAGAATAGTGACGTGCTTCTGTTACACTAATGACCTGCTCTCCTTTTATGACTTATAAACAGGCCCATGTTGCCATACAGTCTGCGATGGTTCAGGCACCACCACTTTAATCCTAATTACCCTTAGAACAACCATCTAAATTAAGTTCAGCGAGGGAGGGGGTTTACTCCAATTGACTACTGTTAATGTGTATATTACTGTTGGAAATGAATTCGTTAATAATAGGCCAACATAAAGAGGAAGGATGAATATGATGAAGATGTGGGCAGATAGTCATTCAACCACTTAAAATTCGTGAATTCTATCTCTTGATTGGAAATAAAAGATCTTGAATCGGATCTGTCTAGAAAGAGAAGAATTACTTGTCATTCATTAAGGCATCTGGGAGCGCACAATTTCTATCAAAACACACACCATTATCATGTATATGTGCACTTAAAAAGTACTTTAGCAAAGGAGATTGCTAAATGTTGCAAGAAAATTCATCCTTTACCTATTTCTCTGTTACATTAGAGCTCACAGAGAACAAACATAGTAATACTTTTTCCTGCTTATAGCCTTGGGGATATAAAATACAGGTTCATGCACCTTTAAATGCTTCAACATTCTCTAGAGTTTCATCAATTTAATGAATAGATGAAAGTTGATACACTTCAAGAGAAGAACTGTTTGTGTACCATATTTGTTGAACTTCTAGTCAAAATTTCTGGAATGCTCAAGCTAAGATGCACATATTGCTTAAAAAATAAACAATAATACAATTACTTCATATGGGAAAATGAAATTAATAATGACTTCGAGGTTAGGTTGACTTGAGAAGAGGATAAAAGGAGAGCTTTTGGTTGGTGATACAGGCCAGTCTTGCCGTTTAGGGTGTAAAATGAAAGGAAACACTAATTTGTATTTCTCCTTGTATTCCTCCCACGCATGAGCCACAGTTTTGAAAAGGCATAGAGATCTTAAATAGGTGCATTATTGATCTTTCCACCATCTCTCTTTATAAGCATGATGAGTTGACAATGGAACCAAGGTGTCACACTTCTGTTCAACCATGCCATTTGAAGTTCTTTTAAACAAAATGTAGAGTACAGCTGCCATTTTTGTCCTTATGATTTACTTTGAATTCCTTGGTTTTGATTACTGATTACTGAGAGGAGGATATTAAAACTTTCAGTCTGGTTTACTGTTGAAAAACATTGTTCTTTGAGGGTTAGTTTTCAAAATTTTGATGTGCGATTTGGTTTTATGGTACACATTGGTTAACTGCGATGTTTGTTTTTTTGTAGAATCCATACATGGTGAACATTATCCTGGCTGGATATGACAAGGAGACAGGTCCTTCTCTATATTACATTGATTATATTGCTACTCTTCACAAGGTGGATAAGGCAGCATTTGGTTATGGCTCCTATTTCTCTCTTGCCATGATGGATAGGCACTACCGAAAGGACATGACAGTTGAAGAAGCTGTTGATTTGGCAGATAAGTGCATCATGGAGATCCGATCTAGGCTGGTTGTTGCCCCACCAAACTTTGTGATTAAAATTGTCGACGAGGAGGGAGCCAGGGAATATGCTTGGCGTGAGTCTGTCAAAGATGCCCCCGTTTCCAACATCTGAAGCTCTGTTTTTGTGTTATGTTTACTCTTGAAGCCTATGAATATTATGTTCTGGGAAAAAAACTTTTATCATTGTAACTGCCAAAAAATCTGACGCTACAAGTATTCACTGTTTGATCGATAAACCCGTTGTGTTAAAGATTTTAGTTTTAATTATTTTCGAGTTTCAGGTCGATAGATAGCTGGTATTGTGAGACTTTTCTTATGTTTCAACTACCCCTTGTGTTATGCATGTCTCTCTTCATTGATTTGGAAGAAATAAGAATATAGATAGAGTCGTCGCCAATTTGCTTCACCCCAAAAAAGAGCTTTGCATGGATTGTGAGTAAAAAAAAAAAAAAAACCCAACAATACAAATTGAGAATAAAAAGCTGCCGGTGACTAACTATTCTCATCCCCCCCTCCTAAGTCCGGCCTGCATAATGCCTCTCTCAAAAAAAACAAAAAAACAAGAGGGAGCTATGTACACATATATTTCATCTAATACTGTCCTTATGACATGTAATTTAATCAAATTCACTAAATGTCCACACCAAATGATCAACTGAAGCTAAGAAGTTCAAAGGAAGAGGAAGAACAAACCTGGGCAAGTTGATAAACTGAATGGCTGTAGTAAGACAAGTGTTTCTCATATTGGATCTTGCACCGCTTTTCATTCATATGGTAAGAAGATTATGTGTACTCAGATACTGATGAAGCAGTACATGTCAACTACAGGAATTTAACAAAGAATCTTTTTGCCAGTAGTTTTACATCTATCCACAGAATTCTGATCTGACTTAATATCTTCCAATCAAACTGTCTGTTTATGATGCCATGAAAGAGACAATATTAACTAAGTTGGTGCTTGCAAGAGAGATACAGGAGAATCGACATTGCAGATGCAACCCATAGACGGTAATTGCACATTAGTTCTATGGCTGATGAACATTTTGTTGTGGCTTGAGAATCATGGCTAGGATCATCATCAGCATCGGAGGGTGGAGGTGGTAAACTGCCTGATCCTGGTGGATCTTGAGGTGAAGGGTTATCATGATCACCTGCAATAAAGTGATAATTCATTTTTTACTAGAAAATTAACTCCCACCTTCAAATTTCATACCCCTGGTTTTATTCCTCCGAACTAGTATCTGGAGTTTCTAAGAACTGCAGTTATGTGACTCTGATTATCAATTTTATAAATGTTATATAGAGATATAAATGTTATGTGGTAGCAAAGTATTCATCAATATGGAAGGGAACAATTGGAATGTCAAAGTTATAAGCTTGAAGAAACAGAAGATAAGTAACTTGCCTGGATTTGGAGTGCTTGGTGGTCTAGGAGAGCTAGGGGGTGTAGGACGCACTGGTCTTGGACTTGAACCCCTGTGATCTGCTAGAAATTCTTACACAATGAAGTGATCAGGAGATTCTGAATAAGTAGTATCACCAGTTTGGCTGTGACAAAAGATCAAAGGAGAATTACCTGTTACTGATCTAAAAGGAGGCAGCGTAGTTGAACCTGAGTCACGGAAAAAAAGATCATTAAGGTCGAGAATATGCTGAATGAAATGGCTGATCTTTCAATGTACTTAAAAGATCTTCAGTATAGTGAGCTATGTAACTTTTTGTCTTTAACATACTTGTGTCTAACAGGTGTAACATGACGCGTATTACAGAACTCTTAAAAGTATATCAACACTTCATATATGTATGCCTAAAGGAGTCCAGATAACGTAAATGGTGACTGAAACTCTAGTATCAAATTAGCAAATCAAATGGGAAAAAGAGAGAGATTATGGTATTTATGCTTGGATAGCGCTCAGTACTGTCATGCAATTACTGCAGATGGATTTACACACATATGGTTAAGTTGCAACTGTTTTAAGCTAATGCAACTTTAAGATCATGATTTACTAAATGGACATATTCACTCACAGCTGAAGCATACATTATTATAACAATAAATGTAACTATTACATGTAAAAGCTGTCTTCGGAATTAGGAGATTCAATGAGAATTCGTGAAACTTCTTCACATCTGTAACAACGTCTACTTGTCACATCCGTGATAACATGAAGCAAGTAGTAGTACTATCCGTTCTAGGTAGTATAATGTTATTTATACATACAGAATAACTAATTGACAGTAAAAACATTTGCGCATATACACATAGAAATTCTTCCTTTGTGTTCACTTGATGAATTGCTATCTGTGCAGATTACTCAAAACCACAAATGGATGCATTAGCAATATGAACTCTTCATAACATACAGTGAAATAACAAGCATAATTTCTACGGTATAAGCAAAACGTAAGTAGAAATTCAACTATATCGCAACTCAGTGGTAGGATTACCCCATTTTTTGCTTAGATTCAACAAAATGCTTCTATATTTGTAAAGAGCACATTCGAAAACTCTAACAGGACAAATTATATCACCAGTCCAAATCTAAAAAGAAGAATCATAACGTCAAAAGCACAAACCTGCATTGCCTCGTTCTGATAAAATTCAAATCCTAGCATACGTAACTGAGTTCTCAATTGTTCCAATTTGTTTGGCAATTTTCATCTACAGAGATCTGACTAATACAATTTTATGTAGAAACTACATGAATCATGATTATGTAAGCTAGAATTGTCCTCATAAAAAAATGATTGAACATTAAATATACATTATTAAGGTACAGATTAAATCACAATTAGCCTGAATATCTAAAACCGAAGCATCAAACACTTTGAAACAGAGCAACTAATTCAAATCATAGACTCGATCAACAACATCTACTTTCAACTAAATTGTTACTATCGTCTATTAGTCCATGAAGAAAAAATTTCAATACATTTAGAAGATTCAATGCAGTCACAGGAAGATTTATAGTATGAGCAATCGGAATCCAAACCTGAACAGAGAGACTCGAGAGACAGATTCTCCGCCCCTTCTTTCTCCTCCACGGGACACATAGAAGTTAGGGACAACAGCTTCATAGAACTGATAGGAAATCCGAGGAGCTGAGGGTTGCGAACGAGGTAGCAAAGGCAAATTGCAGTATTATCCATAAATGCCGCCGAGAAGTTATCGCAACACTGAAACGGAGGCGAATCAGAGATATTGTTAGGTGGATCGGAAATGTACGGAAGGCATGGCGAGAACGCCACCAGTTCGTCGGCACAGCTAATTGTGGTTGATAATGACTCCGGCGAAGTTGGCGGAAGTTCTGGTGGTTCCGGGAGTGTGCCGGCGGCGAGTAGGAGAGCTGAGAGAAGGATCAGTACGCCTGCCATTGCTCTAGAGAGAGTGAGAGAAACGGTTAGCTTTTGTGTTGCTGATGGATTGTTGAGTAACAGATTAGTGGAAACTAATTTATACTGATTCTGAAAGTTCAGTGGAGTGTGTTATGCATGGAAGAAAGTAGCGAATGGCGGGAAGAGTGTAGTTTGTTTTTTTCCTGACTTTACATGGCAAACTAATAACCCCTCTAATTATTTGGAATAGTAATAAATTTAAAATTTTACAAATACTATAGTGAAAATTTGAGTTTTAGAGCAGATACTGCAAATATCTTCACATAGAGATACTGTATAAGAGCGGATATACATTATGTCAGTGGATACAATGCATTTCACTATTGTTATGTGTACTAAAATACGCAAAAGAGGTTTACGTCGATACTATAATCTGCTTATGAAATGACACTGATATCCTATGATAAGAAATATACAACTAAATAGACAGAACAACTTAAATTGGTAAGACAATTAGCCAAAGGCAATGATATAACAAGATGCCTCTGGTATAAACTTAAATATAAGTTCAATTCAAGCCTCAACAACCAGAATATGTGTCATGCTCTTGTTGCACTTAACAGATGTATTACTCACATACTATCTTGTTCTTCGATTTGATTATTATGTATTGTTTTCATTGCTTCATTAATCTATTATATGTTGATGTTACTGCTCTTTTCTACATTATTATATCTTTCCATACGTGATTTTATTATGCTTTACTTGATTTGATCGAGCTCTTATCGAAATCAATCTCTCTGCTTTCACACCATAGGCACACAATAGGGTAAAACTGCCTACCCACCACCCTTTTCGGACCCCACTTGTGGGATTACATTGGGTATGTTGTTAGTGTATATTTGACACAAATACTTGAGTCAAAGAAAAAGCAGTTGGATAAAACCTTGAAAATTATGCTGATGTCATTAGTGAAATATGTTGAGTAAACATGATGGTCCCTTTGTCAATATACACCTTCAATTTGTAGGAAAAAAACAACTGTTAAGCAATCAAATTCAAGTGGTAACAGGGCAGGAAAGTCATTCAGGGCTTTTTTTTGGTTAACCACAATTGGAGCCCGACTATTCTAGATTCGCACTGCATAGGGCTCCATTCGGGGGAAGCGCTCTTAAGTCATTCAGGTTTCACTCTCAAGATAAAGCAAATTAAAAAGTTGAAAAATATAGATTTCAGGACTCCCAAAAAAATTCATTATAATGCCAGTACAAATTGATTAAAATGAAACAACAAAAAATGTTTACAACCTAATCCACTAATGTAGTCATCACACTCCAAATAATGTTCATATACTATAAGAATCAATTCAGTACAAGTTCAATACAATTGCTCCACAGGCTACTAGAACAACAAATATTGGAAGTCTCCGTGAATCCGGGGCAGAAGAAGGCGTTAAATTAGGCCTAAATCCTGAACCTGTATCAGTATTTCCAGATCCGTCATCTGTTGAAGAAGGCGGTGAAAATCCATTGTAAGGATTTCCCAATCCGCCGCCTGATGGTGATGGTGGTGTTAAGCCTGGTGTTGTATCACCTCCTGGTCCCAAAGGAGGATTGAATGGTTCAGGAACATCATCACCTGACATTAATTAACATGAACCAATTTAGCAATTCGCGGAAATTTATAAGCTAGATTGGACCTTAGGATTCATCATGTTCAACTCAATTCGCGAGAAATTTTAAAAATGAAAAATGAATTACCGTCAGGGCTAGGAGCTTGAGGTGGTCTAGGATTCCGAAATCGTGGAGATCCTGATGGTGATAAGGCAGCTGGACCTGTCACACCAATATAATATAGCTTTATTAGACCAAATTACTTGATTTTGATTTAGAAAAATTTGTTCGTATTAGTTTAGATAAATTGAGTTGTTTTGGTACCTTGAGCTGGAAGAGGAGTAGAAGAACCTGCAATACATAAAAATTGAAAACAGAATTAGTTACCAAATCATAGTACTCGAATGCCAAATGACGTTTATACCCCTCTACGGGAACGTGCACTCGAGCTACAATTCATAGTGTTATCGTCATTTTTAGCAGCTAAATATTGGGGAAATGTTTGATTTTACCTTTGCATTCAATGGGAACACTATCTTTGTTACAAGCTTTGGGGAGGGTAATCGCGACGTTTCTGTTTGGTATTTTAAAAGGAACATTTCCAGTAACAATAAGGCAGAGGCAATCTTTGCCACTGGCTGTAAGGTCCTTAAGAGATTGACAACAAGCTGAAGTTGGTGAACCCGAACCATTATTGCTCATGAAATTTATACAAGGGCTAAAGCTACTTAGCATCGCGCTACTACATGCTGTACTAATTTGCCCTGATACTTGTATGCTAAAAATCATCAACACTATGGCTAAAAATGGTACCAAACGTCGAAAATTCTTCAAAAATTTGAACCCTTCCATTAGTGGTTTTTTTTTTTTTTTTTTTTTTTTTGAGATTTTAAAGAATAGTAATGTGAAGGGAAAATGTGATAAATGTAGAAGAAATTGATGTTGGTTGTGAGAGTGATTATAAGAAAGGTTGTTTTATAGATGAAGATTGAGGTTTAAGAAGAAAATGGAGGGAAGGAAAATATGAAAGTCCAAAAGTGCTATTGAAGTTCAACTACCTTTAACTAACTTCATATCAAACAGAGTATTTAGGTGACCTTGCAAGTTTTATTTTCTTTGTATGACTTTTTTGGAAATCTTTAGAAGCTAAATGATGTGTTTAAATAAGATAAAATATATTCATTGACTTCTTTAATGTTGTCATCTTGTGACCAAGTCATAAATTTGAGTCTGTGTAAGCCATCATTAATACATGCATTATGATAAATTGTTTGTATCACACCCATTATGTGTTGTCTTTTTTCCAGACCCTTCATAAATGTGAGATATTTTGTGCATCGATAGAAGTCATTAAAATCGTAAGAAAGGTCCTTGGAATGCATATAATAATTAGTTATCATTCAAGACGTAGTATTCTTATTTAATAAGTATACTTTATTACTAATATATCTTATATCCCTAAATTCAAGATTCTTTCTTAGAGTAATTAGGTGATCACTCTTAAGAACCAATCGAAAAAAGTTCATCAATTTTGCCGTAAAAGTTAAATACATTGTTAAAAATAATTATTTTATATGATGAATATTTTAAATTTGTAATAGTAAGTTAGTTTACTATTTTTATTAAATTTACAATAAATTATGTTTATAAAGTTATCAGGATTTATATATAATTAATTACCTTATAAGTCATACGATTGTGTAGAATAATTAATAATAATCAATAAATCATTAAAATAATGCTAGGAAATAGCATGGTCATACAGGTGGTAACAAAATAGACCAATATTGCATGATGTAGTTAGGTCTCCTTCCCCACAACAGCCAATTCTTGACGTAGTAGAAGTTTGATTACTTGTAGCTTTTTTTCTTCTCATCTTTATGAACTTTTATAATATTGTTCTCAAATGATGAGTTAGGAATATGGATTTTGACAAGTTAAAATGAATTGAGTTAACAAATAAGTAAGTTAATGATTCAATTAACAGTTATTTGAATTGAAATGGATTGACTAAAAAGTATATCGTAATTCGACTCATTCAAGTTTTATTAAAAAAAAAATTGTTGTTTTACAATTTTTTAAGTATCCCATAATTTTTAAAAATTATTATTATGATTATCAAATATAAAAATGTCTTTTCGAAAATATTCAGATAACTTTTTTACGAGTCAATTTAATTAAACTACATGTTAGTCTAACTATATTTGACTGAAATGAATTGGACTAAAATAGGCTAAATGATGTAACCAAACAAAGGTTTCTATGGATCATTTTGACTCATTGCAAATATTCTTTCAAAATATATGATCTTTTTCACATGAAATTGGTAAATGTTAACATATGAAATTGATAAATAAAAATCTAAGTGATACTTGTAAGTTTCATTTTCTTCTTTTTAAAATTTAACGGAATATATTATTTTTTATTAAACGGGATAGCATTTCATCTTTCTTTCCTTATAATATCTAACCACCAAATTCTTCAAATATATTTCATTTTGCAAATATCGAGATGACTTGTAATTCTTGAGTTAGTTATATTAAAGGATTGCTATGACTGTGTGCTTGCCTTTTGAATTTTTGCCTTTTGCTTTAAATATTTTAGAAAATAAGAATATCGGGTATTTGCCTTGAAGACCACTCATAATATAATCCCCTGTTTCAATTTAGTTGGCTTGATTTAAAAGTGCTTGATGAAATTAATTAATATTCAGTATGAATTTGCACATAAATTTTTTGTTAATATAAAATCTATATATTAAAAAATTATTTGAAAGGTACTATAAAAACTATAAGTTGCTTTGTTTATTGTTATTTTGTTGTCATATTTTTTTTTTGCAAAGGAATTGCATACATTCTACTCTTTTTCACCTGTACGATTATATTGAATATGTTATTATTATAATAAAAATCGTAATGATTAAAAATTCAAAATATTTAGAAAGTATTTTACAAAAGTTATAGTCATAATTATTATTTTTACGGTTCACATAGTATCTACTATAAACAAATTTAGAAAAGATTCATATAATTTGGTAAAGAAAAATTTAATCAAATACATACTTAGATTCCTTAAATCAAATAGAACTATAGACGTACCAAATAATAACATAACAAGTACATACTATATTATATCCCTGTACAACATCAACGTCACTAATAAATAATTCTAGTAATTGCTTTATATAATCTATATTTTAATTTGTAGTCATATATCATCAAATTCCTAATATTAACTCAAAGAATCGCTCCAAATGCAGCTAACATAATTAATAGTGGTGAAATTCCATGACCAAGAAAAGGTGCAGCCGATGGTGCCGCCGGAGTTAGCCTGTCGGAATTTGTTGCCGGAGTTGATGGATCCATCGGCGGAGATGGTGGCGTTAGAGTTGGAATGTCATCGGCTGGTGGCGATGAATTAGACGGC